GTCTGATAAAGAATTTGTGATTTGCGTACCTGGTTAAAAGTTTTTCCGTTGTAAATGCCGACAATTGAACCGACCATCTCGGGAACGATGATCATGTTTCTCAAGTGAGTCTTCACGATCTCTGGCTTCTCATTCGGAGGAGCCTCTTTCTTGGCGCGACGCAGCTTCTTGACCAATGCCATTGGTTTACGTTTAAGACCACGAGCGAACCGCCGGCGCGCACGGGCATGCATTAATTCCATGAGTTGCTCACTGAAACGTTAAATTAAATAAATGATATGGGCTTATACCTATGCTATGGACTTACACCATACCAAAATAATCTGTAATAGATGAACATTAAAGCATATTTTACGTACAACAGTTCAGTTTGAAACATGACAGTAAACAGTTACAAGAATCCTTTAACCTCAAATTTTTTTGATACACTGCATTTAAGGTATTGAACACTCAAAAATACTAACTTGGGCATATCAAGGAGCTGATCGAGATCAACTCCCCGGTAAGTGAACTTCCTGAAAGTACGCTTTTTCTTGAGGGTTTCGTCGACCTGAAAAACATAAACATAGTTGCTCACTTTTCTTAAATAGCACTGTTTTAAGATTCTTCACATATTGCTGACGATATAATACAGACAAAATTTGCAATAAAATATGAGATTCCTTCAATTAATTAAGATAAAATCAGGAAATATTTAACAAACCTCAGCCATGTTTCTTGTTTATTTGACAGAAGAATTAAAAAGAAATAATGTTGACACACACTGACAGATTGAAAAAAACTGTCAGTGTCATCCAAAGATATTTTGTGTTTTATTCGGCTAATTCGACAGGCAAGGGAAATGCAGTTGAAACAGAATCTTACAATAGAAATCAAACCCGCACAAAATATAATTTGCGCATACTTTTTTAATATCTTACTTTTTTTAGAAGACGAAAATTCAGCTCACCTGATGGGAAGAAGTCACTGACGTTCATGGAAATAAACAATAACAAAAGCACAGCTAAGAAAGTTAACGTCTATGGACTCCGGTATTCACTTAATACCAAATGAGCTAGTTCGACATTCAATATAATAGTTTAAAGACCTATTATATAATATAAGTAATCTGACAAAAACCTTAATCACGGTAACAGAATTTACGGGAAATCCCATCCCAATCCCAATCCAATTTAGACTATCGTTCTACCCATCGCTATTCTCTGAAAGATCTTCCCTTTATCATTTCCGGTACACTGATGACCTCAACATAACCCATCAGCAGATAGCAGTAGTTCAACAGCAAGCCGACATTGTAGCCTTATCAGGTCCATCGTATCGTAGCCGACTCATTGCTTCCTGGTCCTGATACACGCAACGCAATCATACTGTTTGAACACGCCACAAGCCGTTGACTTTTCATATATGAAAATAATAGTTTTCATAAATTATTCCAAGCAAAGTCAGTTCATTAGAGGAATTCGTACATACTCTTAAGCAGCAGAATATGAAATGTTATCTCTAATTAGACTGTGAATATACCTAACATAGGCATGGTCTTTCTATCTTCTTCAAGGGTGATTGAACATTGTGTGACATTTTATATTCCGTAAAATTTATGCAATGATGAGTTTCTGCAGGATCAATTTGAGACGAACTATAAAGTTAATATCGAGAAATTATAATTTTGTTCAAAGAAAACATTTTCAGAATTCAGACTTAGATGTAATTTAAATTAAAAAAAGTCATGAAGAACAAAAATTAAAGTGATAAAAGGTTATGAATAAACTGTAAATAAGTGGAATACATTTTGGTAGATTAGAGATTGAGATTAAAAAAGAAACATTCATGAAAAAAATTTTTAATAAATAAATATAAAATTTATATTATACTTTGATTGAACAGTGGTATAGCAAACGAATATCATTGGTCAAAAATTACAATAAGAACTACATATCGTTTGCACATGACATAGTGATATTATCGTCGTCCCTAGTTGCATTCATAAAAGATTCTAATATTATTTTAGAGATTCCATAAATGCCGGTTCCATAAATCACATTTGTATCGCAACTCACCGCCTATGTCAACGGTTGTAAAAATTAGGTAGGTACATATTTTCCCTGTTTGGAAGGCCAGGCAATATTGAGCAGTGCTATTTCAGAGCACACAATGATATTTTATAAATGGAATGTATTTGAGAAGTTCGTTGGAAACGTTAACTCAAATACACTCATTAAACCAGAATCTTCAATTATACTATTTCCATTTCTTTATTTTCTCGATGACAGCTTCTGTGGAAACTTGACCGAGTGTCTTTTTTACATAAGGTATCCATTATTTAATAAAAATATGACGCTTCAAGGTCATAGCAGAGTCGGAGAAACTGATAGGGATGGAGCTATCGATAAACGTAAGACGATAACAGACCCGATATTTTTTTACAAATTGTAAGAAACTTATTGCCGGATAATTTTGTACAAATTTATTAATATTAATATTACATTTAATTACAAGATGTAATTATATTATGTTGATTCTTTATTTTAATCACAATCTGATGAATCGTCACTGTCACTCGATGAGCTTTCCCCAGCATTTATTATAAGTTCCTGTTCTTCTTATCGAATGCCACATGAATTTCCCAATCCGACGCTAAAATGTTTTGGGTTCTTCTCACAACTTTTTCCCAGTATTCGGCGGTTACTTCCGCACATGCATTTTTTAATAAATCTAACATCTTGTTTGCCGTAAAAGGGGGTGGGTATTATTACTAGCGACGTGTCCTTTGATTTGTACCCATATTAGTTCTATAGCATTGTACTGGCAATGATACGACAGAAGTCGAACAACCCAATGACCTATTACGAGCTATTTCCTCGGTAATATATCTTTTAGGGAGGCTTTTTTTCGATTTTAAAATATTCACTAATTGTACTTTTAATAAAGTATAATCCACATTTTCGCCATGTTGTTGCAGCCAGCCAATTATCTCTTGTTGTTTATTGGACTGCTTTAGCATTTTATCAATTTGTCTAGAGTGATATGTAGCGTTGTCTATAATAATTATCGACGGTTCTTCCAGAGATTGCACCATTTCTTTAAACCATCCTTCGTAAATCTCCGCATTTATTTCTTCGTGGTAGTCAACTGTTTTCTTGGATTTAAAGGCCAGTAAAGCATCTGCAACAAATCTTTTCGTAGACCCTGCATGGCATATGATAAGGCGTTCACTTTTTCCATTGGCACTGAACTAGTGGCAGCGGCGCGGCGGTGTCGTCAGTCCAGTTCTTAGATACTGTGTGGTTTGCATTCAACCGGGTCTTGTCAGTGAAAATAACATTTGACCAATCCGATATCTTTTTGGCTTCGTTCAAAAATTCGCAGCGAGCCATAGCAACGTCGTGATGGTCCATCTATATTTTACGTTTGTCCGAATTTTTATAAGAAAATACAATTTCTTTGAAAACCAAGCTTAATGACGATTTTTGGCCATGGAACAAACCACATTCACGTAAAGAAATAACAAGTTTTTTAAGTGTTGGAATTTCTTTGCGCAAGTAATTTTCATATATATGACGGCGAATAGCGTCAGCGGCGTAGTTGTCAACCGATGTCACACGACGTGGTTGGCGTTTTTTCTTCGGCGTAGAAAGCTTATTTTCCGGCATGCCGCTTGTACCGTAAGCTTGAACAAGACAGTGGTAATAACGGGCCACCATTTTGATACTCCGCTTCAAAGTAATTACGAACCTTGATCACCAGTTCTCTCGCCGGCCTTTCCAGAACAGATCCTTTAGGCATTTTGATATTTGACAGCTGAGCTGAGCTGGGCAGCAGTCAACACGGAGGAACAAAAAATACACAACGTAACGTATGGATAATGTGAAAAAAACTCAGCGAACAGAAATGTAGTGACTATAGAGCACGACCGTCTTGTTCAGAGTGACAGATTAAAACAAACACAAAATGGCGGTGAGCCACTGAGTGTTCCCAGCTTGAAAAAATATATTTAAATGTTTTTCCTTTCTAATTATATTAAAATTATTTTGTCCGTGCAGTTTGAGTCATAAAAAATCGGAGCGGTGAAGCGAGTATTTCGCTCTCTCTTCCACTCACGAGCCTTATGGACGGACACAGTGGTGCGCATTATTGTTGTCGATAAGTGCTATCGATAGTGTATTTAGTTTTGTCATTTTGTGGGTTAGTGATAAAAATGAAAGAAAAATTACTAATCGAACACTTACACCACTTATCGCCGCAGCAAGTTAAAGAGAACGGCAGAAATTAACACTTAGTAACTTTTCGGGATATATTCTCATTTCAGTGATAAATTTTAACAAATTGTTGATAATACTAATACACACGTGCTTGTGCTGGTATATTTTTGCTAACAAGCAAAATATTTGAATAAACTCTGGCGTTTTGGTACAAAGCAAAGGAGTAGCCATTGTGTCACTAAAGAAATTCAGAGAGCGAATGCACAAAATCACATTTCTCTTCGACATTTATGTAGTATAATTTGCAGGTAGGTACAAAAAATGACTCATAACATAACAATGTCTTACCACCCTTCGTATACCGCTCCGCCGCCGTGTACTTGCCTTCGATGACTCATTTGTTTTTATCGATAATGGCGTTGCGCCCGCGCAACATGCACACCGCCCTAGCCTAGGCCTAGGCTATGTTTTATGACTCGAACTGCACGGACAAAATAATTCTCTGTAGAACTGTAGAACACATCGAATAGGTGAAACCATTAAGCTAAGTATGCGTGTTCACGGTACAACCTATTATCAATAAACGCCAATCACTGACTTTAGTACAATTGTATAATACTCAAAAAATCTGGCTGCCCATTTTCAAGTGAATCACATAATCATCTTTTAAGACACTTGGAAAGGATTGGCACCGCATAGCCAAATATGTGCTTATACATTTTAATATTCTCTTTGTTTTTACTTACAAATAAATTGGAATTGTTTTTTTAAGCATATGCTTAAAAAAAGTAAAAAAAACTATTATACTTTTTCTTCAATATTATCACTTGTTGATCTAAGTAACTTTGATAATCTCTTTCCTATCAATTTGGGATATGTATTTGTTTTTATTAAAAACTCTTTAGACTGGTGAGTGACAGCACCATTTTCCAACTGATATTTACACAATATATGGAGTGGTTGAACAAGTTGTTCTCTATATATGGAGTTATTTTCAAGTTGAGATAGTGCTTCAGCTGCTGTTTCCAAAGTACTGAGACATCCTTCTGTGGGTTGTGTTCTTATGATGTAGCTACTAGTATTAGTGGTCATCAATTTCACGTGTCTTAAATTGTGGAGTATTGGACTGGAGGCAAAGATTGCCTTTGCCTGTGGCCATGTTCCATCTATCAACACCAAATTGTAATTGTCGCAAACTAATTCTAAACTTCTAATGTCAATTGCAGTTTTACTAGGATACAAAAGTACCGTGTTGGGTTGGGTCAAAAGTTTTTCTAAATTTTCATGTTTCAATGAAGGAAATCTTTTCCCTTTAAAAATAAGGCACTTGTTTGGGGCTAAGCCTAATTGTAGCATGGGAGCTGTTCGAAGACATCTTTTTTCTTCTGCTGGATGCTGCAGAAGTATAATGGTGCTTCTTGGGGATAGTCTTTCAGAAGGAAGTGCTAGACACCAACAAACTACTGACGGCCTCCTGTAATATTAAACAAGCTAATTGTATGAGACAATAATTAATTTTTAAACTGATTCATAGCTGAGCCGTTATAAAATGTATATAAAAATATTTAATAATATATTGATAACACTGTTTAATTGGTACTCAATTTGCTGCAAGTTTTGTTTTCAAAATATTTAATGTAATGTTCTTTGGATAAACAGACTATGAGTATTATGTTATTTTCAATATTTACTGGCAATTAACACATAAATCTCTCATGACTGGTGGATCAGCAGGAATATTTGATAGATCTTCCCATACATCATTTTCATCTGACTGGAACATTGTTCACATCTGAAAAGATTAATTATGTGTAAAAACTTTTTTGTCTTCTTCACAACTTAAACAATATTTTTATTCAGGTTCATAAACATTTTATGGCTTATTTTAACTCATAGAAAACGGTATCCCTTTATGTGGATTATTCAGCTGAATAAAATTGTACCAAGTTAATATGTTCAATGATAGGGCACTTGATATATTTAAAGTGTATTTCCAACAAAGCAGCAAGAGTGTCCGAGATTTAGTGCTAGCCAGCAAAATAACAGGTAGTACCAGGCCCATAGAAAACCTTGCCATCAGAACTTAAGATGGTTAGAAGCGTGGGTTTCAAAGGTTTTATGACAATAATAATTCTTTTATGTTATAATTCTGTTATTAATGATATATTTACTTATTAAACTTATGTTATTAACAATAATTATTTTATAATAATAATAAAAAAGTAATTTAATTACGAGTTTTTCATTTTACAAATATACGTACTTGATATTGATGAGGCTGAAACGAAGGAGCGGTTAATAATTAATGAAGAATAATTTAGGTAGACCTCGGAGTTATTTATTTATTTATTATGAATACAATGAAGTATTAACAGTGTGTACTAAATTTTCTATAGTTCGTAGCACCTACAGTAATATAATCATTTTTAAACAATTCACTAATTGCGAACTCTACATTTTTATAAATATTTAGCTACATTTACGGTAGGTTTATACTAGCACATCAGATTTCTTTAAGGGATTTTTTGACCTGGTAACTAGGACTTTTAAGTCGTCTTATTTTAATTTATATTCTTAATTCTATGAAAAATGAAATTATGGAGTGAAATGAAATATAGATGATTAATTTGAGACATTTATCAACTGGGATAAAATGAAATGAAATGAGATGAGATGATATGGGATAAAATATAATTTCAGTAAAATGGTGGTCAGATTAGTATATTTTTTTAATAAATTTTACTGGCTTGGAAACAAAGTCTTTAAGCCGATTCACTTAATAGTTAACACATTGAGTAATTACGTACCGTAAAATGGGGCGATTAGGGACAAATTCCAACTTTATGAGCAATTTTAAGGTAGTTGTTGATGTATATAATGCTATATCAGGATCAAAATGATTGAGTCTTGGGGGCATCTTTGTTGTCTAATTTAAAATTATGCAACTAGCATTCCAGTTTAAGCAAAAAATGCAAAAATAGGTGTAATCCCTATTTACCCGAAAATTGCGGTTAATTGGGACGAAATGAGAAATTTGCTAGGGTTGGCACTACTTTTATTTTTATATATAGTTTTAATTTATTTATTTATTTAGTTGCACCAACAAAGTGATCATCAATAAAAAAAATTGAAAAACTGACAAAAGTACATGGCAGACATCACCTCAATTATAGGTGCAATCGACAGTGCTGATATTTCTATCTGGGTTAAGAGATTAGGTGTGTCGGTTATTCCATGGATTAATCAGATGAATACCCCCACTCTGAACAAATATTAAATATTTTATTATGTATTACTTAGACATTTTTGTCCACCTTGAGATTTCATTGATCTTGTTACATGTCTCTGCAAAATCGACTTACTTATATTAAATTGCTTATCTATTTCAACTAAAGACTTATTCCCAATTTCGCTTCGAATAAACCAGATTTTTACCAACAAATTTAAAAAATATTGTTATAACTACATAGACAACCCTACAAACCTGTACCTATTTATACTTAGGTCGTTTCCATTTCACGTATTCTCATCCCAATTGACCCCTTTTTCGTTGTTATTTGTACCTAAGACGTCCCCAATATCCCCAAAAACAACAGATTTTTACATGTATTTTTATTTAATCAAATACATTAAAACCAATAACAACTGAGACTTACCTTTAATATATATGCTGGTTCAAACACTAAATAACGTTTATAAATCATAGTCGTCTTCTATTATTATCAAATAAATAAAAGAGAGCAAAGTTTCTAGCACTAAAATAATTACCACCACAGGAAGTTAATTTGAAACGCGATTTTTTATAAGTTAGCAGCTATTATCATGCATATTCAGAGTTGTTTTGTGAACTTTCAACATTCTACTATTAAACTACAAAAAATGGAAGATTTTGCAACGAATATAAAACTTATATTGAGCGTCGAAAGATTTTCCCGGTTTTTTCCCGATTCGCCTGTCAATCCCTAATCGCCCCATTTTACCGGTACACTGTAGAGGTACGTAGCATAGATAATACACTTAGATTTAGATAGCTACTTCTTCTCCATCGCTCCCTCATTGCTGAGGATCGTGACTCCGTTTCAGCTTGTCGACTGCCAGCCTCCATCGGTTCCGCTCAGTTGCCTGGTGTAGTGCAGCGCTAAGTGGTCCGCTGGTTTGCTCGGAGTTCTGGTCGGACCAACAGTAAGGTTGCTTTTAGTAGACAGAAAGATTAAGTAAAGGTTTTTTTAAATATTATTTAATTTTTTTAGTTAAAATGCGCCCATGGTATAAGATGTGCATTGAAGAATTATTACTGTGTTGGCAGATATGGCCAACACAGTAATAATTCTTCAATGCACATCTTATAGAAGGCAACAAATTCTTAAAAAGCATGTTTACTGCTTCTCGGATATTGGCTTTTCGGCTTCGCCGACAAACTGCTGGGTACGGTGGATGATACAAAACTTCCAACCTTGTGGCTTAAAGACCGCCTGCTGTGCCGATGAGGTCGAACGTTGTCATATAGGCGTAGTGGGGACGAGTGATTAACCAAGGTTGGTCGGAGATTCACAAGATGTTCCCTTGTGTCCAGTAGCTCTCACTTAGTACACACTCGCAGTAATGCTTATGCTGTTGGGTAAACTGTGACAGCCACTTGACCATTTAACATTGACACTTTTAGGGCGGGCGTCCTTGGGATGTCGCTGCGAGTCTGGTTGTAGTGTTTACTGCGGAAACCCCCTTACTCTGACAGGATTCTGACCCCGGGCGGAGATCAGACGTTGGGCGTAAGAGTGCAGGGGAGTACTTTGGTGCGGTAGGGGTCTAAAAATATCGTTGGGCCCGTAATCTGCTCGCAACATCTGCAGATCGTCAAGTCGCANACTTTTAGGGCGGGCGTCCTTGGGATGTCGCTGCGAGTCTGGTTGTAGTGTTTACTGCGGAAACCCCCTTACTCTGACAGGATTCTGACCCCGGGCGGAGATCAGACGTTGGGCGTAAGAGTGCAGGGGAGTACTTTGGTGCGGTAGGGGTCTAAAAATATCGTTGGGCCCGTAATCTGCTCGCAACATCTGCAGATCGTCAAGTCGCAATACCTCGCGCGCCTCCTGGGCGCGGTGACCTCCTAGGAGGATGGGCCCGAAAAAAGGTTTATTTTGTTATTTAGTAATATCTCGAACCAAATCTTTAGTTACCAAATCGATGGTGTGCTTAATTAATGTATTTCTTTTTTTATAGAAAATAGATTTACGTAATAGCCTGTGTAGCCAGGATAGTATAAACCATAGATTACCACACTAATGCAATCCCTACGGTTTGTGGGTACGTAAATAGTAGGTATACCGTAAAATGGGGTGATTAGGGATTGAGAGGTAAATGGGGTAAAAACCAGGAAAATCTTTCGACGCTCAATGTTAGTTTTTTAATCGTTGCAAAATCTTCCATTTTTGTAGTGTAATAGTAGAACGTTGAAAGTTCACAAAACAACTCTGAATACGCATGATAATAGTTGCTAAGTTATAAAAAATCGCATTTCAAATGAACTTCTTGTGATGGTAATTATTTTAGTGTTAAAAACTTTGCTTTTGTCTAGAACTGAATGTTTTTGTCTAGAATTTTTATTCAAAATGATCAATGCAGTGTTATTTTATTGCTTGGAAAATATTTGTATTATGTATCAGTTACATGTTGTTTTCTATTTTTATATATGCCTCGCGTGTACGTATCAAAGAGTGCAAACCTTAAGAGATATAATCCCTTAATATTAAAAACAGTAATAGAAGCCTATGAAATTAGGAATAAGTCTTTAGTTGAAATAGCTAAGCAATTTAACATAAGTAAGTCGGTTTTGCAAAGACATGTAACAAGAACGATGAAATCTCAAGGTGGATAAAAATGTCTAAGTAATACATAATAAAATATATTATTATTTGTTCAGAGTGGGGGTATCTACCTGATTAATTCATGGAATAACGGACACACCTAATCTGGGTTAAGAACGAAAAAATATAAACCGCTTATAAGAAAGCCCGCTCGTTCGAATTTAGGTGCTTACTCTCCCTTAAACAGAATTCTCAATGTCAATACGTCAATGTTCATTTGGAGTTGTCCGTTTGCGCTGAACTAATTTTAAGTGATGAAATAGATGTTTTTTCTAATTGTCTCACAACTTACAGGAAAAATCTATCGCGGATAATTTCCCAAGTAAATATAAATTAATCACATACGAGTAATTTAGAATTAATTAATTAGATGAAATCAAGTTTTACTTATATATATATTTTTTTTGTCAATGCACTGTCTATTGCACCTATAATTCATGCCATCTGCCATGTACTTTTGTCAGTTTTTCAATGTTTATTATTGATGATCACTTTGTTGGTGCGACTAAATAAATAATTAATTAAAACCAAGGTGTGCCAGTCCTAGCTAATTTCTCTACTAATACCGGTCACTCACATTCGCACGAATACGCAAACCCACAAGTATAGGATGACATTTGCAAATGATTATGCAAAGTTTTCGCTGCATTCGTGGCTTTCCAAGCTGTGTCGGTTTTTTAACGGACATCAAATTGCGCGAACCGCGATCCTTCGCGCACGATTACGAAGGTAATGGACGTTTCGCCATTTTCATAGTTCGTGACATCTACTGTATAGCGTACCTTCATCATGGATTGGAACAACANCCCACAAGTGTAGGATGACATTTGCAAATGATTATGCAAAGTTTTCGCTGCATTCGTGGCTTTCCAAGCTGTGTCGGTTTTTTAACGGACATCAAATTGCGCGAACCGCGATCCTTCGCGCACGATTACGAAGGTAATGGACGTTTCGCCATTTTCATAGTTCGTGACATCTACTGTATAGCGTACCTTCATCATGGATTGGAACAACACCAAGGTGATGGAGTTCATTGAGCTCCTGCAAAATGAATCAACCATATGGGACCCTCAAAAGAAATCCCATAAAAACAGAATGGCCGTTAATGACGCCTGGGAAAGAGTTAAAAACTCTTTTTCTCTTCAATGTTCTATTGACGAATTAAAAAAGAAGAGAAATTCGTGAGATATTCGTAAATAAGTGTAGGAGGAAGCGCAAACGGGTTCGCAAATTGAATACCGAACCCCATTTGCACAGCCGTAGCCGCTAAGTTTGTGAATGAATGTATGACGGCCACTCACATGCGCCCGAACATTCGTACAATACACTAATTTCGTCCCTAATAACCGCAATTTCTGGGTAAATAGGGATAGCACCTATTTTTGCATTTTTTGCTTAAACTGGATAACAAAGGTACCCCCAAGGCTCAATCATTTTAATCCTAATATAGTATTTTAAACATCAACAACAACCCTAAAATTGTTCATAAAGTTGGAATTTGTCCCTAATCACCCCGTTTTACCGGTATCTCTAGTAAGCTTGCATGAGGTTGGTGGCTAATGGTTTTACCATAGCATAGGTATACCTACCTATGTACTTACGTATGATGTCCAATTTTTATACGAAGTGATTTGTAAACATGGAGGCCAAGTTATGCTATACTGTGAAGTAATTCTTGTTTTCGGATTGTTTTGTTTAATTTCTTGATGGAGTTTATTTTTGTGGTTCGTAAGATACTTTCATTCGGTATATTAATCAATTTATGTTTAGTTTCTATAGTGATGTTATGAGTTTCTCTTTATAAATTAGAATCGTAAACGTATGCACTTGGCGCCAATGCCCTAAAAGACCGTTATGCATGCCTAATATGACGGGTCTTACACGAAGGAAGAACAATTTCTAAAATATCTAATTGTATTTCAGTTAATGTTTCTATTGGTTTACCGATAGCGCTCAATTTCATTGCGTTTAAAAGTGGACCTTCAAGTGTCGTCAGAACTGTCATTCTTACAAATTAGGCTGTAAAGAAATTCAATATTTACAGTAAATATTCGTAATAAGGCGTAAATAAGTAATGCTGTATAATAATTTTGCTTACAGCTATTTTACTTTTTAGATAACTGTACCATTACGGAGTTTTGATTGAAATGAGGGGATTCATGCTATCGTATTTGGAAACATCTTGACCAACCTTGAAGTAAGTACTTCACGCATATAGACTAAATTTGAAAAAAAAAACATTACATACAACATGTTTTGTACAACATATTTATGTCAGAGAGATCGATTATTAAGTTCTAATAGTAAAACTAGAATAAGGTTGATAAACACATAACATAGCTTTAAACATTTAAAAAAACTTAATTACTGTATTATATTTCTACTTGCATCAAGTTCAAGGTTGGCTCATAAAACTCAGTGTTTATTTATATTTTGTATTAGTTAAATTTCATTTTATTTTGGGTGAGTATTTAATAATAAATTATTTATTTACAGAAATGAGCACAGACTTACCAAAAAACCAGAATTCAAGCGGTGAAACTGATTCTAATAGTGATTCAGAGGTTAGTATTGTACATATAAATTTTGTTGATTCCTAAAGTTGAAAGTGCAAAACATATTTTTTTAGTTCTGGTTCTCTCTGACTTAAAAAGTCAGTATTATATTTGGAGTTCTTTTGGAAGTTTGGTAAATTTACAAAAGTATATTCAAAAGTTAAACTATATTAAGTTTACAAGTTAAGTGATGATGACAAATGGTTACCTGAACCCATAGATATCGCCTTGACTGCCCATGTACACCTTGAGGCATGAGGCTAAAGTGTTAATTGCCTTACAGTTGTATTGATTATATGTTGTTCTAATGACAAACTAGAATGCATAAGTACTTTGCTGAAATATCCAGTACCCACCTGTCCTAGAATACAGTGCACCTTACCAACAGATTAGATAAGAAATGCAGAATTAGGTTAGAAAGTAAATTAGGAAATCCTCATACCAGTGATATACTACTAGGGATAGTAGTAGTATATTACTACTAATAATAAGGTAGTAATGGTATATAACCCGGAGAAGTGGTGATTACTTGTGAGGTACATAACATCTGAACACAGCAACGATAGGTACTGAGTGATGACCATGATCACTGCGACAAGATTGATACGACAAAGAAGAATATACCAACATGGATAGCTATATGATGGGTAGTACTAACAGTAGCATGAATAAACCACATCATATACCTGTTCTTTCTTATGGATAGTCTTATAATTAAAATATTCTGATCTCACAACAAATATGAAATTTAATTATTGTTTTACAGAATAGTATCTCTACTGAATCATCAGGCAGTGACTGGAAGTGTTCGAATGCTAAACAGAGTTTGGCTCGGAAACCACACTTTTCAGTCACATCTTGTGATACTGGCTTAAAACTGAAAATAGCAGCCATACCACCTAGAAAAGTTTTACCCAAGAAGGCTGCCAAACCAACTGTAAAAAAGAAAACAAACTCAAGTACTAGTACTCCTGTTAAAGAGCGAACCACAGCAGTCAAAAAGAAATCTCAACTATCAGAAACTAGTTCTAGTTCAGATTCATGCAGTAAATGTTCATCAGATTCATCAAGTGATGATGATATACCATTGAAGGCAGTCTCTAAAACTTTACCTTCTAAATGTTCTCCATCAAAGTCACAATTGAAGTCTAGGAGTGATAGTGACAATGATAAAGCTAGTGATGACAGTAAAGATGCATTGAAATGTAAAGAAAAAAGTGCCAAAAGTAATAATGTAGTTAAAAAGACTAANTGCAGTAAATGTTCATCAGATTCATCAAGTGATGATGATATACCATTGAAGGCAGTCTCTAAAACTTTACCTTCTAAATGTTCTCCATCAAAGTCACAATTGAAGTCTAGGAGTGATAGTGACAATGATAAAGCTAGTGATGACAGTAAAGATGCATTGAAATGTAAAGAAAAAAGTGCCAAAAGTAATAATGTAGTTAAAAAGACTAAGAGTGAAGATTCAAATGATGCTGTTGTAAAGAGGGGGAGAGGGAGACCAAGAACCAAGGTAAGATTTTTTATAATGTATTGCCACAGTAATTAGTAATCAGAAAAGCAAACTTACTTGCTGATTGTAAAAGCTCAGCAAAACATAGACAGTAAAATAATGTGTGGATGATAAAAAATTTTTAAGCTTTTGAAATTAGCAAATTCATAAAAAATAGACTATCAACTTTTTTTTTATTGCTTAGATGGGTGAACGAGCTCACAGCCCGCCTGGTGTTAAATGGTTACTGAAGCCCATAGACATCTACAACGTAAATGCGCCACCTACCTTGAGATATAAGTTCTAAGGTCTCAAGTATAGTTACAACGGCTTCCCCACCCTTCAAACCGAAACGCATTACTGCTTCACGGCAGAAATATGCAGGGTGGTGGTACCTACCCGTGCGGACTCACAAGAGGTCCTACCACCAGTAAAAGTAAACTTGGTTGTATATTTAAAATTTGTGATTTCAGTCATTAGTGCATTACAATATTTTGCTCTTACTGAATCTCATAAAATTTAAGGTAGTTTAAGAGTCCCTTTTTTCAATTTATTAATTAACGGTTCAATAACTATTTACTTTTTTTAACCTCTAAAAAGCTAATGATGAACTTTTTTTTGGATCTTGTTTATAGAGAAGCATAATGAAGCTCTCTAGTCAAAAGACATGTTTACGTATTTAAAGCATTTGTAAAAATCTCATGTTTATTTCATTTGTAGTATTTAAATTTTGCCAATTGGAAACCGGGGAATTGGGAAATTACATTTCATGACTACATGACTTATGTACTCTGTTAATGTGATGCATTACTGTAGATGTCCCAGTAAATGTTGTTGGAAAAGTTAGCGGAATCATCATGAACTTATTAAGATGAAGTTATTTGTTAAGGAAATTTATTAATATATTCCTTTTAATACTATTTAAACTATTATATGTATGTATGTGTGTATGTATGTATGTATGTATGTATGTATGAATGAATGTATGTATGTATATATTATTATGTATGTATGTATATTATACTTTTTATAACTTAATATAAATTTCATTGCACCTACCACTATCCACTCTGCACTACCTTTGGTTGACTGATAGAGAATGCCTTAGGCATTAAGTCTGCCAATGTAAATTTAATTATATAATGTAATATAAGTAGTGATTTTACACAAATGTAAAGATGGTGATAACAGAAAAACAAAATTAATATTGCAAATGGATGAATAAACTTAATTTGGAATTAAATAGAAAGAAAATTATTTGAATTCAAGTCCCAAGTCTAAACTCCTGCCTAACAATGACAGTTAACATGAACTTTGAGAAATTGTTGGAGATGATCCTGTCATGTTCTTCTGTCATCACACCTGATAATTTTTGCCAATTATTTGGCTGTATGCTGAAATCCTCATTATTCCTGGGTGTTATGCCCAGTCTTGCATCAAATTAGGATTTAAAAGGTTAGCAGTATGCAGAAGATTGGTTGTGACTATCATTGCTAATGAACACAAGATTTCACCATTAGGAAGATAAAAATGAGCTGTAAATTTATTGTAATAATGTTGTTGGTGTTGCTATGAGTTGTAATAATTATTGTGTAGATGAGTGAAAGAGCTCATAGCTGTGTAAGAATTACCCACCATATACCACCATCCACCTTGCATTATATAACTACCCCACCCGTCAAACCGGAAAGCATGATTGGTTCGCAGCAGAATTAAGAAAGGCTTTGGTATAATCTGTGCAGGGTTACAACATCACTAGTAAATGTCAACTGGCAATCGCAGTAATCTGGTACAATAATCAGAGAACCTTGCTTTATATTGTCTGATGATTTCCAAATTCGATTTTTATGACACCCATGGGAAGAGATGGGGTGGTGCTATTCTAGACAGATACCCAACAGTATAAATTCTGCATGTTACTTATATTCTGTAGTTATGATGGGCTGTTTAACTTTTTGTAAGCTTTTAATATTAAATAGTTAGTTAGTGTTAACTGTTAAGATCACAGTCAAACCATAGTTAACAGTGATTGACGATATTTGGCCCATTGTTAAAGTCAAGCATAACCTATATTCTACTAAACATACAAGAGTAGCCATAGAATTTTTTTTTGCAGAGAGAAGTTACTTGTTTTACTACCTACATTTTTTATTTACTTTTTTATATTTTAAAGCAGGATTAAAGCAAATATGGGCAAGTAAGGGATAACAGTGTCTCATCCCTATAACCCTCAACCAATCATAAAAGAAATTATCCATTAATTAAATGAAAAATGGTCAGAAATTCAGAACAAGCCAATTGTAACGGGGTAGCGAGTGAAAAGTGTGGAATAGTATCGTGCATTAAAAATCAAACACGCGAATATAAAAAATTGCGTTATTATTGATGATATTTATGTACATTCAGTTTAACTTGTCAATTCTGAAAAATGGGGTTTCTTAGAAAGCACTGTATTGAACTAACTCAAACTATACAATGCCATTGTTTTATTGCTAAACGTGTTTAAATACGTCTGAGCTCACAGCTCACAACTAACTGGCTTTAAAATGTTATGGGAGTTTATCGGAATTACATTATGACAAAACCCATTTATTTTTTTAAGATATTATGTGCTTGAAGTCCCAACTGTAAAGTTTAAACTAGATGGCGCTAGTTCCACGAGCCTGTTGTCGGGCTCCTGCCCTTGTGTGATACGGAACCGTTGGTGCGCAAATTAAACTTACGCTCCTGAATGAGTTCAATTAGGCAAATTGTTTCTGAGAATATTAAAAGAAAACTTTGAATCAGTGAATATGGCATAAATGATGATGAATGAATTTTAGTATCTTAGCACGGATTATCTAGGGAGTTTTTAAATGTACTATTTTTATTTTATTTGGAAGACAAATAGTGAACTTAAACTATATAAAATCTAACCTAACAACTAAACACAATTTAAATGTCTCCGCATTTAAATAACTACAAACGATAGTGGCGTCGCATCGCCTAGAATTAAATAATTAAAGTAAAACGTAAGAAAAAACAAAAATAACAACAATTTGAAAAAAAAAACAGAAAAACGTAATAAATAGAAAATAATTAATTAAATATTTGTATTCAACCATCGACCAACTAATGTTCTCCTAATAATTTTAGTAGAAGTGTAGAAAATGTCCAGTTCAGGGCAGTCAGCTAGAGCATTGAAACTGTTAGCAGCTCTTATAAAGTTTAGTATGCATTACGTCTGTAATTTGTACCACCACGAGGTACTCCGAGACGAGATGATTGACGGCTCTCACGCATTATGGATCTCGGGGGCACCCTTAAACATAACAACGATAGAAGATAAGACGAGTCCACCTCAGACTGAGCTATATGGCTATAAAGAACAACCTAATAATAAACCTGTACTGCAATAAATTCCTCCGTCGTTGTTGTTTGTGAACGTGTGTTAGGTACGCACGTAGGTACTTATTCGCTTGACACTTGGTACATGCCAGCATGATTTGTGCTGTATGTGTGATATGTTTTGCTTAAATAAAAAATTGAAACCACTTTCACGGTTTAATCTCACGTTTGTATTTCCTACATTTCGAAGGTTTTTTGTTAGGTAAGTTAAATAATATGTCTTCTACTCGCAAACATTGATGAAAATGATTCTTCATATTGATTGTAATTTTGCACCGTAATATACTATTATTTCATCCTATATTATTGTCCATCTCACGGCTTTCTTCAGTAGATCGCGGCCAACAAAAACATACTCTCAACGACATAAATATATCCATCCATTTTTATTTAGAAATCATAAAGTAATATTTTCTTGAAAAACAAAAAAGTCTACATAGATAAAATTCAAGAAAATAAATATTGATAACGAACTTCACGAATGGTATACTTCAATTATTATAGTTAGTAATATTTTATTAATTTAGCAATATCTTGAAAATGAACCCTTTAGAAAAAAAAGAAGAAGTAATTAGCCCAGTGGCTCTCAACCTTTTATTTGTTGCGGCACATATTTAACGATTTTAAAATTTGGCGGCACACAAAGAAAAAGATTTATTCTATTTACTTTCTAAAACACTGCATAAAACGTTTATAAAAAAACATTAAATATACGAAATAAACTAATATATGCTTTAATAATATTTAAACGTTTAAAAAGGGATTAATTACAAGCTAATAATAAAAAAAAAATATTTGATATAATTTAATAATATTAACATCATTATATTATATTGGCAAAATTTGGCGGCACACTTTTGAAATTTCGCGGCACACAAAAATGCCGCGGAACAGTGGATGAGAATCACTGAATTAGCCCAAATACATGATAAAGTACAGTCAAATACAGAACTGTCTTCTGTTTTGAACTCAGTTAAAACGAGAATCAATATTTTACTGATCATTTTCATATCAACCAAAGATAACTAGTGTTTGATGGGTATCAAATACCCTGATCCCGTGTGAACCGTTCTTTTGTGTGAAACTTTTATGCAACAAGTAGCTGAATGCGTTTAAGATTATTTAGTTCTGCTTACTGCTAGCCGGTTGTTTATAGCTAACTAGCTCTTTAACTTTACAAACTTTTTAATTGCTTTTATGTTTTTCGTACTTCTACCCACACGTATGCTAATTCATACTTTACAAAAACGATTGAAGCATGTGACTGTGACGACAATATATTTTTATAAGCCTTGTATCGTACTAACGAAGTCATTTTCGGTCATATTCTTCAAAAAAATGAAAGTACACCTGTCCGTCGTTTGCACGAAAATATAAGCAATCGCTATTTCTTTCTAATAGGTCCGATCTTAGGTAATAGGCAAACTTTCTTATTCATTAGATGATTTTTGCCTATCTAATTACCAGTAGCCTCGAGGGGCTATTCTTACCGTGTTTGTAGGCGCGCTCACGGGTTTTACCCTGAGAGACATTCAGAGACACACAGGAAGTAGTCGTGGCCTAAAGGATAAGACGTCCGGTGCATTCGTGTTGAGCGATGCACCGGTGTTCGAATCCCAGGCGGGTACTATTAT